TACTACTCCAAAACCTGGCCACCAGGAAAGGGAGTTGGTAGAAGAACTGGTCAGGACTCTGCCACCTGAGCTGTAGATAAAAGGGAGAGAAAATATGTTTTGGGCTTGTAACATAGGATGCACAGCAACCACTGGCAAAGAGTTAAGTGCAGAGGTTTGGTTTTTCTTTTTCGTCTGCTGGCAAATGGTAAGCTGTATGTTTTGGCCCATTGTAAAAAGACTTAATGTTTGAGGCCCTAAGTAAGGGAAAGCATCTCCTTCCAAAAAGGGGAAAACAGTGGTTTTTGCTACATAGGTGGATTTCAAGTTAGCTTTAGCCTTGGTTAGCTTCAGATATTTTCTGAATGCTGAAACAACATGTGAGGCAATGGGAACTACTGCATGGAGGGGAATACTAATGTTCTTCCAAAGACACTTGTGCAGTCACAGAAAAGAAGTCATAAGGCTTCTCAAAGTAAGAAGATCAAATACACCTTTGAAAAACCTGCTTGGGTTTGTCTGGCCTTTTTTTAAACATCATATTTCATAACAAAAGCTTTATATTTCAAAGTTTGTCCCTTAAAGCAGTGCTAGCAAACAGTCTCTGCTTAAATGAGGATTTTTGCAAGTCCAGCACTTGGTAGAATTCATGCTTCCTATTGGAAAAAGCCAGTTCAAAGCCTGCACACTAACTCAGCTCAGTAGACAGAAGCATCTTCACAATATTTCTCCTAAAACTTAAAAAAAAAAGTCTCCAAACTGTCATTTTAAGACAAAGGGCAAAAATGGTCTGTCTAGCACGTACTGAAGAGCAGGAACCCTCTAGCTAATCAAAACCCAACATACGTGGGTGCTATTCTGCTTCTCCTTCTCCTCTCTGCAATCCTGCCGAAAATCCAAGGTTTGGAGCAGAAGAGTGTCTTATTACATAAGGGACACCCAGAGATCAATTATTTGCCCCAGGAATCCAAAAGCTATAAAACAGTGCTAGAAACTTCATTTTACACAAGTCGGAGCTTGGATACCACAGGGATAGGCTCAGTTCAGAAAGAAGCTTAATGTCTAGATAAACAGGTTTAGATAAAAGTCCAGCTCCTGTGTTAAACATGCCACAAAGAAACACAATGATGTTACTGCAATGAATATTAAAAAAAAAAAAATAATCTTTGTTTTGCAAATCACTTCCACAACTGGTTCCACAGATCACTCAGCTGCCCAAATATCCAGTATGGTCTTCACTTGTACATCCCTTCTTTGATATCGCCTGGGCACAAACAATATTATTTTTTTTTTTTCCTTTCTGTGCATTTGATGATACGGATTGAATAATTCACTCCACAACTCAAGCCAGTTCAAATACAGAAACTTCGATCTGCAGTATTGTAAAGCACTATTATGATAAATAGAATATTTATGGTGTTGTATCACGCTGCAGTTTTTTATTTGCATGGTACAGGCCAATTCTCCCCTGGTTTATGTAAATCCACTATACCCAAAGAGGACCTTGTCCCCGCGCCCAGCTGCAGTTCTGACGGCTGAGGGAAGCATGTGTGGGACAGCACTTCCCAAAATAATCCAGCCGTGACCGCCTTTCCCTCCTGAACTACTGCCAGCGCTTGTGAAACCGCGGGTTCCTCTCGCACGTGGGTAGTTGGCCTGAAGCAAAGCGACCTCCTCCCCTGCTCCACAAGCGTCTGGAGGCCACCAAAGAGGTGCAGGCCAACCTCTGCAGTAAAGAGCAAGATGTATTGCTGTGGGCAACGGCGCAAGAGCCCCTCCTGCTCCTCTTGTACGTGGGAGACCGCCGGCGAGGTGCAAGTGGGGAAGAGCGAGCTGCGCCGCAGAGGAACCGGCAAGAGTGGGAGTACGTCATCGTGGATGCCTCCACAAAGGCATCCGGAGCGGATGAACAAGATACAAATAGCCACAAGTGTCAGGGTAAAACTGGGCTATTCAATAAAAATAAGCAAAAATGGGGCAACTCTTGCCAGTCTGCCTTACGCATGGCATCTTGTGGAAGTCAGGGAAAAGCTGCTCACCTCCCTCTGCATCTGCACACACTTAAACCAGAGGAAACACGGTGTCTACGTGAAATACTAAAATAAACAGAGAATCAAAGCCAGTCAAAAACTGATTGAGCTTATGCTAAAAAGCTTGTTATGTATGTATGAACATGGCTGTGCTCTTGCATGTGAATAAATAAGTTTTTATTTGAAGTGAAACAACCAGGCATTTAACATCACTTCCCTTGACATGATCTATCTAAACTGTGCAATTTTAGATCTACAAATAATGAAATAATTACCATCCTCATCTTATTGTATGCACAGTAACCTTATTCTGCTTCAAAATAGGATCTGGGGCTGGAATGTCCCTGAGATCTCACTCCTGCTAACGCTATTAATTCCAGCAGCGTATAACGCCAAATATTTACACCTATTCTAACATTTTTCTGCAACTTTAAGGAGCCATTTACTCCATCCGCAAAATACCGGTGTGTTTGAGGATTTATCCATCATGTTGCACCACTCCCTGCTGATTTACCTTCCACGCAGGACTGAGACACAGCCGCTGCCAGCAAGCCCTGCACTGCTGCCAGTGCGCAGTTCCCTTATAAAGAGTTTGCTCCAGCTCCTGCGCTCTTTTATGTAAGCAGCTGCCTTCCAGGACCACAGTTTAGCGCTAATTAATTTCTTAATAAAAATACAATTTAGCTTATACTCTAGTGCTAAAACCTGGGTCATTTCTAGTTCTCACTAAGATGCCCAAAACTCCATCTAATTCAAGTCTGTTTCTTCAGTCCATAGTTAAAGACTAGAACGCTTCTAATATAAGGGCTCTTTTGACTTCTTCACACACAAAATTTAGGAATGACTGTAGGATATACTTGGCCAATTTTGTCTAACAAATATTTACAATCAGACAATTAAGATTCCTCTGTAAGACTGCAATTTTCCCATGTCAGTTTTATCTCAGACAACTTTAATATTGCCAGTAACTTTAATAAATATAGCAACTAGTGAGTGCAAAGTATTACTTATGTATATTTATGTTCCAAACTAAATGAAAATACTGGCAGTTCCCCCCTTTAACCACTTTGCTCTAAAACAAAACCTTGGGTTATCGGTTCCTTTAGTAGTCATGCAACTCCATGGATAAAGCACTGGAGTGCAGCTGACAAAGCCTGGCTTTTACTTGCCATCTCGGCCACAGGACTCTGGGCAAGGCATCTGACCTTCCTTTGCCTCAGCAGTTTAACATCTGCATGCAGAAAGGGCTAGATAAGCCTGGTGTCAGTTATAATTATTTCTTGCTGTCACTCAGAATTTGCTTCAGGGCTTACATGCAAGAAAATAGCAGCTTCTTCATGTGTACTTGAATGGTCCCTATAAAATTTAAAAGAGCTCAAGTCTCAAGATTAAGTCAGGAAGCAAAGGACCATATTAATTCTAGTAGAGATCAAGAATTGAACTCATGTCAGATTCTCACGGAGACTCACAGTGAAAGGTGCTATTCCTCTTATCTTGCACGTTTTCAAACAGTTCATCTAGTGCCTTTTTACCTTCAGGAAACGAGCCATATGAAATCAGTCATACAGGTATCGGCAGCAGTAACTCCTTTTTCAAAACCGTGTGTCATTGGGACATAAATCCTGAGCCTCTTCCAACCTCACATTTTTCCATTCTCACGGTTATTCTGCCATCTTAATTGCACAGACTTCCTCCCCCCCTCCTTTCTGCTACAGAAAGAAAAGCATGTCCCGCACGCCAGAAAAACAGGAGTTATGAGATATTCTAGACTGCGGTCAAACATTGTTTTCCAAATGGAAAGCGTAGTCAATTTTGACCTGGTTAGCATAAGCTTAAAAATCTTCAAAACTGACTACAAAAATACTATAAATCTATAACCTGTATAAAATTTATATAATCTATGAAGTAGATGTGTAATCTATAACGCAGCTACACACACATTTGTATAATCTATAGTAAGAACTGCACGGACAGTTTTTGGCCCAGGTTTGTAAATCCATTTTACAGCCTGGCGACCTGCAGCGCTCTGTCCTTTCGCAGCACATTAGGGCTGCGACCTCCCGTCCCGGCACAGCCGGCGAGCAGAGCCCGCAGCACACATGCTGCTAAACAGTGCGAATCAGGCTGCTGGACCTCTGCCACGGGAAGCAAAGTAAGGTTGGACTTGTTCCCGTGTATGCATTTGAGATTTACTTCTCTCAAAGACAGTCCCTGACCTTGACCGTGGCCTTTTAAATTTATGGATTGGTAACAGGCAACTGAGGAATGAAAACACTTGAAGCTCCTTACCCTTCATATTTACCACACCAGACGGCTGCTGCTAAGTGTCAGCATCAGTCCAGTTTTATCATGTAACAGTGCCTGGGTATAAGAACTGTACCTTATCAGAGATGGTGTGAAGGCTGGCTTTTAACAGGTCGGGGTGCTTCTTGCTCTGGTAATGTGTTTTACTCATCTGGAACTCTTCGAGTGATCTGAAGAATTTATTGCCAGATACTCCTCTCCTCCAGGAGTTTACCTCTTAAAAACAGTAGCTACCGACTGGTCTTTGCTAGGCATGCACCTAATCTTTTAGCTGGTCAAGCAAAGTTGACCTGATTTTCAGGAAGCCCTGTTGAAATCAGTGAGCCTCAGTCATCAGGAAACGACAGAGATATACCAACTATCTAAGTGTGACATAACAGTAGGTTTCTAAAAGGGATCTTCCTTTATCCTGAAATAGTATCAGAGGTTTCAACTTTTAAAAATCAGGCCTTAAAAAGGAAAAAAAAAAAAAAAAAAAATCCACTTTTCCACTTCTTCTCTACAGCATGACTGTCTCTGTCCTTCACAAAAGCCTAGATATGAAAACAGTTTCGCTGGTCGAGGGCTTCTGTAATAGAGTGGACAATTATTTAGTTCCTAAAGCAAATGGATGTTAAATGTAAGGATAAATATAAGCTTTTTTTCGTGGAACTAGCCTTGGTGTTTATGTTGCATCTGTTACCTTACCTTCCATAAGAGCACAGCCAGCAACAGGAAGATGAGAATTCCCACCAGCAAACTGATGGCAATGATCCATCCGACAACATACCCACGAGGCTCCAGATTGTGCAAAGCCTCAAAGACCACCTACAAAGCAATTAGAAAAAGATCTTTTTACGATTGGAAGTTGCATTGTTTTCTCTTGTATTCATCTTATTAAACACATAGGCATGGTGGCCTCACTGATCGTATTTCATCTGTCAAACAAATATGGAATGCATCCTTAATTTTGTGCTTTCCATCTATTTTTTGCAAGGGATTTAAAGCTTTCAAGTAGACTTTGAGTAGCCACGCGCCTTGGATCCAAAGGGTACCAGCTTCCACCCCGAAATAACACTTACCCTGCCAACCCCCCAGCCCACCCCAGACACTGAGCTTGTTCTGGTGCTGGGCCACTAAAGGTGCACAAAGGTTTGCATGAAAAACTCCATCCCTTGGATTGGCAGGGATTGCCATGACATCTCGCATGGTTTGTCTTACTCATCACGTTCCCGACCCTGCCAAACACCCCGATGCTTCAAGCGAAACTCTCAAGTATGCTGAGTTCGTTAACTTTTTTAATGGGAGAGCTCACATACATCCCTATTGAATACAAATCGTCCCTGCGGTGCTTCACAAGATACATCGTCTGAAAGAGGGAAGGGTGTGCGCAGTTATGTGTTCTTCTGGGAAGGCAGAAAGCAGACCCCTGCTGTTCTCCTCCCTCTTTTTGTATAGCACGTATGGCAGGGAAATACATCCTACAAAGAGTTTTCCTTAACTGTCTGCCTTAAGAAGAAAATGGGAGCAAATTATACCGCTTGTATACACTATGTGAATTTCCAGTCTCTTACTTCAATCAAAACCAGTTCCTCAGTGGAAAACTCAAAACCAGTTCTCCTCAAAGAGGGCTATTTCTATGTTAAATTTTGCAATTTAATATCCAGTAAATGCAGAGAGGCAGCAGGGATTTTTTTTAAGGCAACACATTTGCTTTGTCTGGCTTTGTTTTGGTTTGTTTTGGAAGGCAAAGTAGTGAGTTTTCCTCCTTCCTTCACAAACCACTTTCATCTTCTTTGCTTAAAAATGTCAAAACCCTTTTGTAGATATGAATTCTTAAATCAGTCTTTTAAACAAAACCAAAAAAATCTGGTAGTTAAAAGTGGGTGAAAATCCGGGAGCTACAGTCAGATACAATTATGCAACCCCAAGATACTCATCTTTAAGAGGTCCATGGAAGACCCATGACATACCTCCACTCACTGGCAACACCGTTCAAACAGTGTTATTTATGAGACAGCAAAGGAAACGGGATACCATACAATCTATACGGATGTTGAAGGTGGGCATTCAGGACAAGGCTGCAACAGGGAGCTGATGGCAGCACTGGAAGAGGGGCCAAAGAGGCTCTGGGTTCTCCATCCTTGCAGGTTTCCAAAGCCAAGGGCATCCTGAGCCAGTGCGAGGAACAGCCCCGCTTTGAGCGAGAAATGGGACAGGACAGCCTCCCAAGACCCCGCTAATGAACTTTTCTCTATTTCCGTAAGCATAGGCAGCCTCAGCAAACACCCACAAAAATTACAGGCACAGAAGAGAGAAAGCAGGTGAGTAAGGCTATCGTGTATCACAGTGTTCCCATAAAGAAGTACTCAAAGATCCTTCATCTCAGTTTCACAGGCTCATGCTCATTAAGACCACAGCTTTTCTGGAGGAAGAATTTGAACACAGCTGATCTACACTCACTGTTTTTTTTCTACCAACAAGATATTATCAGGCGTTTGATGACAACGAGACATGGAAACATAGCAAATGGACAGGAACAAAGCTATACATAGACAGTACTATCCAAACATATTCCCATAACAAGTATCGCAATGCTCAAAATAGCTCTCAAACATGGACGAGTTCTTCACCCGAGAAAAAGAATAGTTTTAGTGTTTCAGACGTTAGCACAAAGCCTTTGTCAGACTTTTTAAGACATCTTGCTGAACAGAGAAAGTTTCCTAAACAGCAGAGTTTCCCTCACAGCCAAGACGAGTGTAAGGGAAATACCAGACAGGGAGATCAAACACAAATCTTGTGCCTTCCTCGTATTTCTGAGCCAGCTTGGAAAGATGATCTGATGTGGCAGTCCATTTCTCACAAAGGCTATGGTTAGCATCCATCTTGCAGACACAAGTCAGATGGCTATTTCTTACACGATAAGGCACTAATGTTATTTTCCTTTCTGACTCTAAAAGAAAACAAACTCCTAACATTTTAAGTATTGCTAACTTTAGTAAAGAGACCTTTCAAGCAGTCCCTGGATGCAAAATGAGGTGGTGTCTTCTCTCCACTACTCAGAGAGTAAATATTAACATACCACAACCTCCAGTACAATAGACCTGTACGTCCTTCATGCTGCCAAAAGACAGAGGCCAGGAATAGCTGCAGCGATCAAATCGTACATCATCTCTACAGCAAGAGCCCCACATTTCAGGTTTGAAGCACACTGGCTAAGATAGCTCGGCTGTAGTTTTTGCAGTCACAGGTTGGGCTATAAGGGTAGAGAGTAACAAGAGCTTCTTACCTATCTGGTTTCTTCTAGCAGTCAAGAACCAACATACAAGCATAAACACACACCACACACACCCCCCTTTCATGGCTTTGTGGTTTGGAGAGGAGCAGGGATGTTGCACATGTTAATGTCCTTATCCCTCTCAAGCCCTCAAAAGCTGCCTGCATTAATACGCAGCCACTGCAATGAGTTTTGGTGAAGTAGCAACTCAACAAAAAACCCAAGCCAAACCCCAATCCAACCAGACCACGCAGACAGTCAGCGTACACCACACATCAAGAGTACCAGCAAGAAGCCAGTACGGTAAGTGGTGGGAGGCCAGGGAAGCAGGTCATCCCAGGGGGAAGGTTGGAGGCAGAGGGTGACATTACTAAAGAGAAGGGTGCCATCCGCCGCCTGCTGCTTGACCCACTGGCCATCACACAGTTTCTAAAAGCCAATCTTGAACTCTTCGTCCCATCCACCCCACCAGCACAGCCTCTACAGGGCAGCCAAAACACTGGAGAACACAAGGTGGTCCCCAGCCCAGCGCACGTCCCACAGCCCTGGTCGATAGAGAAGACAGGAGTGATAAGAGGGACCGATGCAGAAGATAAGTGGGGTGGGGTTGGGAAAGCATCGCAGAGAGGGCCAGGGGGGCAGTGGCCGTCTGGTTCAGAGAAAGCGCATGCAATGGTCATAAAATACAGAGCGAATTACAGGCTTGTTTTCAGACTGACAAAATACCAGGGAAAGGCCATTAAAAACACACACGGTTGTCTTGACGATGTATGAGGGGTTTTAGTTTCACATTTATTTTTTGCATTTCACACTGTTCTTGCAGGATCGGAAAGCGAGGAAGCCCGGCAGGCAGCATACCTTGCTGTTTAGCCATACGTAGCTCACACGTCAGTCAGGTTTTACATGATGTAACTGCCCTTCTGTAAAATAACAGAGATCTGCACCCTACCACTGATTTCTGAAATGTTGAACCCGCATGAACAAGTGCATCTACCAGTTCATCATCTACCTGTGTCAAACACTTGCAATATTCTGATAGTCTTAGTGAACAAATTGAAAAGAATCAGAATTTTGTATTTTTTCTAGTGTACCCTATTTCAGTAAAGTATGTAGGCAAGAAGTTAAGAAGTTAACTGAGTAGGAATTTTGCTAATACTGTGCTGAAGCCCCTTGCAGAACAGGCACACGCTGTGGCACTGGGACTCAGAAAGACAAGAAACATACTTCAGCAAAATATAAAAACAAAATACCTAATTGCAAAATTTTAATTTATTTTTGCTTATGAGTACTAAATGCCTTTTATGCACTTGTATCATGAACCACAGCGCCATGGAAGGCACAGGTTTATAAAAAAAAAGGCTACTTTATTTCTGTATTATCATCCAGAATATTTCTGGTGTTTCAAAGCACACTGCACCGCTAGCTGACTTGTCCATTCAAACGCTGTTATACTTGGGGGCACTTGCAGTTACCACACCATTCTCCGATACCTCTGTACTTATATGTATATACATCTCTTTTTATGTATTTATTTATTTATTTACATATACTAAGAAGAACCTTGGAAGTTCTTGAAAAATACAAACCTGAGGTATCCTTGCTACCTGCTTTTCTCTGTCCCTGGGAAATGAACTGTATTTTATTGCTATTGTGTATTGTTCTGTTCCTTTACCCAAGCACATGTTTTTACCTGCCAGACTGCACTGTAAAGACAAGAAAATCTATAAAAGATTTGTTACAGTAACAGATGGAAAGGTAAAACAATAAAATGAAAAAGAAAACACAGTGAGAACAATAAGGCAGCAAATAACCCACCGGAAAGGAGGTTGCAAGACTGCTGGAGGGAGTGAGTGCGTACCTGGCTCCAGCCAGGCTAGGATATTGGGCTCATCTCAAAGGCACGCTGGAGAACAGGCGCCTTAAAATGCTGAGGGTTTCTAAAAGGCAAGAGGGGGTGGTGGTGGGTTGCTGAATGGAAGAGGTATTTTCATGCTCATTTAAAAAAAAAGGTTGGGACATCACGAGCACTATCCTGTACCGCAGGTTGCTCCTTCCAACGCAGACGTGGAGAAAAGGCCAAAGCCAGAAGGCCTCTGCGTCGCAGGCAGGCAGCTAAAGCTTAGGCATGTGAATATGGATTTAAATCTCTCCGCATATATAGAGGTATACGAAGACCTCTCAAAAACACCTTGTAGGTCTTCACAACAGTAAACTTCATTTTTCTAAGTTTTTCTTTTCTGTTGTTGTTTTCTCCGAAATATGTTTGTTTATAATCGCAAATACAAACATACCAAAACCCTGACCAAAAAAAAAAAAAAAAAAAAAAAATCCAATTAGGGCAACCACTTGCCTGTGTGGAATTAAACCTGGGGTGACTGGGTTGAAAAAGAGACAACAGTGAACTCTATCCAGGAGGAGGGAGAGGTTCAAAGGCTTGATGAAGCGTACCCGTCCTGAGCTGACAGCACCAGACAGCTATTTGGCAGCATTCACCTTTACAGGGCATTTTATCTGCAGTTCCCCTTTCATCTCTTCAAGCTCTGCATTCCCTCACTTTCAAGGCAGGGAGACTCAGAGGCATTCGGCCGGTTCTGCCATAGTGAAATCCAGCCGGTTCTTCCCTCCACACCGGCACCCACGGAGGGAAGCCCTTTTGTTCCATAAGAGCAGTGAGCACAGGGTACGAATCCTTGGATCTGGTATTTGACCACCACGGTCTCACGAAGCCTATTGTTGGGTTTGCCTCACACGCAGAGAAGAAGGGAGCCAAACCTTCATGAAAACCCATATGCTCAAGAAAAGAAAGTATGCCTCCTGAAAATACCACGCCGTGAGTTTCAGCCAATATATACTCATGCTAATACAACTGCCATCACAGAGCCAAATCCAGACTCTGCTCACCTTCTTCATGTGATTTGTCCAATATAAGAGTTCAAACTGCCCATTGTAACCCAAGACAGAAAATATATCATTCCAAATCACATAAAACCATATCTAAATCCAGATAAATGATTTCTGAAAACTGCATAAATGTATCTTTTTAAAAAATGGGTTAATTGCAAAGACAGCCTGCTACCCAACTTACAGATATTTCCATAAACTTTTGCATCTCCCTTACAAATCCTCTACTAGAGTTTCTGACCAAGCTGATATTTCTATGAGTGGTCCTGCCACCACTGGTACTTCTTACACTAGCATCACAAATATCAGTCGTCTTTTTCCTTTTGTCATCTTTACAGATAGTTTGCTCTGTGACATTGTACACTGTACTGTAAAAGTGCCCAGTGAAGTAAGGGCACCTGGTTCTAAAGAACCATTTAAATATGGTACTAAGTCTACATTTAGCTGTAGAAAGCAAAAAAAGCCTTTTCAAATTTACCATGATAAAGTGTCTAAGAACACGGTATTCATTGTTAGGGAACACTTTCATAAGCAGAGTCAAAGGAAGTCCATGCACAACTGTTCAGAAGGAGCTGCTATCCAAACGGATACGGTACAGCAGTCCATGGTCAATGAAAAGAATACAGGCTGAGCTTTAAAAAGGGAGGGAGGAGTAGGAACAAAGACATTTTAATCTCTCCTGTCTCCACTTCCAGCTGAATAGCTGTGGCTTGCAACAAGCACTATTCCCTTCTGCATTCCACAAGAGAAGGGGGAAAAAATGAATACCTTGAGCCAAACCACATGTCTTAAATTCTTCCCTGAACATGACCCTATGCAAAACATACAGCAATGGTGAAGCCAACAGACATATGGAAATAGCATAAAGGAGAGAGCAAATGGCACTCACATTAGAAAAGACTTGAAATTACAAATTGATGTTACATGGCTACAACATGTCAAGTGTGCTCCTTTACAGCTAGGGCTTCCCAGGAACTAGGAGCAAACTCTTGTTTGAAGATTAATATCGCTTCCCAGCACACACAGTGCATTTCATAATTGTTGCAACTCAAGGCTTGATGAAAGGCTTTCCGGGAACAGGAAAAGGACAATTTTTTTATTATTATTATTTTCTTTTTTTCTCCAAGCATTAGATAACAATGAAAAACAGCAGAGCTTGCATTCCTAGATAAAAGCATTTCTAAATTTTCAACATTCAATAACAGTAATCCCACACATTTCACATTGTGCCTATCATTCTGAGAGATTCTAAAACCCTTTACAGATCGAACTATTTGGCAGAGAGATCCTGGCTTTCTCCATTTCAGTTGGGGCACAGGTATCACAGTCAGGTGTTACTTCAGTCACTAATGAAATTTTGCCATAAAATTGCAAGATCTGCTCTGTGCAAGCTGCAGAACTAAAGTGAGATCAAGCAATATATTAACAACCAGGGCTGCAGGTCACTTATAAGGCACATTCCCAGGGAAGGCTAGCTATGTTTTTCATTTCAACTGCCAAGACTATTTTTTAATGCTCTTTAGAATGGTCCAGAAACCTGACAAAGAAAATAAAACAGAAGAGATAAAAATAGGGTCCTGTCATATAAAAGAATTTCTTTTTCTGACAGGTCTAATAAAATAGAAGGTTAAGTCTAGGGTTGCAGACATGATGCTGGAGAAGATGGTCACTGTAGCGGTGTCTCTAGTTTCAGGCTGAAGGTAGTAAGTAGATGCAGGTTCAATTCTTCCTTTGCCTGTAGGGTTTTAAATCTAGTATCTCTGAGATGAGTGCTTTAATTTGCGACATCAGTGTCTTCCAAAAGTGTGTTGAACTCAGTGCTCTCACACTCAAACCTCAATAGTACTCACTGAAATCGTGCCAATAAGAGAATGGTTGCATGGGCTGGTGGTGAAGACAATCACTGGGGATAAAAGGATAACCGAGAGATGGGATCTAGATCATGTTCCAAAAATATACAGCAAGAGGAGAAATTGAAAGTAGTCCAGATTACCTCTGACATGAGACAGAAATAAGAAATGAAACTTTAAAATTCCACCATGCAAAAAGAAAGCTCAATTTGGGTGTGGCCCCTGTTCAATTTTCATGCGTAAGTATTAGGCGCCTTCCTAGTAGGAAACCAAAGCTGTTACCTCCTCCTTCTCCAGTAGGTTGTAAACATGGCCCTGTATAGTTTTACCTGAAACCAAAACTATACAGTGAATTCACCTTGAACCCTTCAATTTTCAATCCAGCATCACGCAGATCAACACAAAATGCAGTATCAGGTCATACATGAATTCCACCAGCTCAGCACAATGGAACAGTTAAATGAATCTCTGAAAGTTTAGACTTCCTTCCCCTCTTTCATAACTCCCAAAATATTATCGCTTCTAAATATTTCATACTGGCACATCTGAAAAGACTTCCCTGGGGTTTCAAGTCCCTGCTAGGTTTTCAAAGAAAATCTGAATTAAAGCAGACGTTAACCGTAGAACAGGAAGCTAAACCTAAATTTTGGCACAAACACCTCAAGGGTATTACAATTTTGGCTACCACAACAGATCCTTGTGCTCCCCATAACATCATTCACTGTGATAGCATGGTTATCATAGAGAGCAGAACCACAGAAGGACAGTTCACAGCACTGCTAGTCTAGCCAGCCGAAGTCTGGGCACTCTCATGGGCCAGCCCAGCCCAAGCCCAGTCACAAATTCCAGTTTGCGTAGAGCTCTTAATGATCTCCATCCCTCTGGGATCAGGAAACCTTTCTCTTCAGGTTTATTTACTTACTGGTTTTTCTTCTGGGCTCCCAGTGGGCACCTCCACAACTCTGAGGTCAGGGTCCACCCGCACCCTTGCCCTTGTGACGAACTGGATGACCGATGAACTGTCCTAAGAAGTAAAAAGAGGAAGAATTGGATTTGAGGGTGAAAAAAAAAAAAAGCCCCCCAAAAACCCCAGTCAAAAACATCAAACATTTGCCAGGGTAATAAACACATCTAGACAATGCTTAGTGGAGGCTGGGTTGAGAGTTAAGTACTATCCTAGTTAAAACCCTGCTTTGAAAAAATATACCTTATGCTTACAACATACAGACAAAGCTGAGCACATTATCTCAGATTAAAACAAAATCAGGCATGTTGGATCTTAAACACATCATTTGTATTTGGCCTGTTAATTTTTTCCCGCGTTTACCGCAAAAGCAAAAAACGGAACGCTGCCAAACAAGACAGGCGGGCTCAATATTAACCATCAAAGAAAAGTTCTTTTTGGTTTTTCAAGTGAACAGAAAAAAGATACACGAAACCTTGGATAAACTCAAGTATATCCCAAGGTGAAAACTTCTTAGGTATTTGAATCTGTGCACTGCAAATATCTTAAATATTCAATGTACACCTCCCGTTATTAATATACACTTCCATATTTTACAAAGTGCATTTTAACAGGTCCATTCCAAGAAGCTGCCACTTCAACTCAAAGGTTAGTCATTTGTATGCTCTTCACCTTGGGGAGGGTAGGTGACAAGTAGCCAATGGCATGTATCGGTGACACCGACCCAGAGACACACGTAAGCACTGTGTATCTTATAAAGGAGTGCTGCTAACGGTCCTGTTGGAAAGGACCCAGCAGATGGGATGAATCCTGGCTATTCCCACGACTGAATTTCCCAGAAGCTCATTTTGTGTGCACTCAGTTACTTGCTTACTTATTGCAGCATTTCCATAAGCACGTAACAAGTGCCTGAAACTTCTGGCCTTGCCTATATTTTCTGTTTTCGAATAAGAACAAACAGTAGCAGACTGGTTGGTTTCAGCTGGAAAAGCTCAGGGCTACCAATTGCTTTAGGAACTGCTTTCTAATAAAGGTTCCCTCCAATGCTTTTAATCTTGCAGCTATCAAAGACAGGTTTATTTTAGCAGGCTCATGTTATCAGCTTTCTCCTCTGATGATCTTATACTCTCATAATCTTACAGCATCTTGCCACAATTACACAGTCAGCATTTTTGTAAATAAAGAAAAACAGGACAAAACACAGTAAATCACTAGAAATTTAGAAGATTTGCTGTCTCATTCAGTGGCTTCAGAGAAGACGGGAATTAACTTGCAACCATTTGTTTCTTGTCACAAATGTCAAGTTCAGCATTAATACAGTCGTGATGTATCTTCTTTGAATAATAATCATTTGAAGTAAAAAATTACAAAAACCCGCCACATCTCTGTTTACACGGAAGGAATGATAGCTAGTTGGTCACAGTTTACATGCACTTACTCTACTTTTCATTTTTCAGAATGAAAACTTTCAGAAATCAATTCAACTTTCAGAAGTCTCTAGCCTTAACACCATGCGTACAATTAGGGGCCTCATTTGTTGTTTCTCAATGTATAAATTTCTGAACTTAATTTATTTCTGTCTTAATGGGTAATGGGTAAGAACTAGGATTAACACTTCCACACACGCTGTTGATAAATAGATCTGTTTTCTTTGACACCATGATTTTTTTTTTAACACACTAGTAAAGAGAGGAAGGAATGCAAGTTTTGAGCCCATTGGCGCCCATCAGCATACTTAAATCGGTATTTAAGACAAACTACAAAGGAAGCACGTACCTTCTTCAGTATCTCAGTATTCAGCAGCGTGTAGATACTTATATCACAGGACTCTGCTTTGGCTAGTGAGCTTAAGTTGCAGCGTATAATTAAGCAGGACCTGCCTGGTCTTTCACAGTCCTACAGGAAATATGGAAAAAGGCAAAGGAGGAAAAAAATTCAGTGATAAATTGTGTGACAGCAAACACGCCAGCTAAGTCACATAGTGAACTGCTAAAATACAGCACTCCTGCATTGAAATAGCAGCAACTTTCAAGACCTGAAGATAGCTAGAGACAGGGACCTGCACGAAAGCAAGCCAGGTAAAATTCAGCCCTTTACAGAGCTGCTGAGCCCGGCGAGAGCCCGGGGCCGGGAAAAGCGGGGCCAGGGCTGGCCCCCAGCACAGGGCAGGGCATCGCTGCCCCACGGGCCTTTGACAGAACATGGGCACGTCAGGTAACTCCCTCCCCACCGCACTTCCTGAAACTTCCTATTCCCGTGTAAAAATCCGATAATCCAAACCACTAAATATCCCCCCAGCACAACATCAGTACTAGTTAGCATACAGGCATCAACCAGTTGCTCCATAACGAACTATATGCTCGAGTTCTTCATGCGAAGCCATGCGAAATCCTTTGTAAGATACACTGTACGTTCACGTTTGCCATAAGTGGACTTTCTTACCAATACTTTTCGGCCAGACTTCGTGAAAAAAGCAAATATTGTGTGGAAAATATTTTCATTTTCTTGAGGAACAATGCACGGGCTGGGGTTTCTGTGAAAAGAACAGCTTCCTTTGTCCTGACCAACCTGCAAGCACAATTATAAAATCACAATTATTATTCTGAATTAAACTAAATGACACAAGAAGGTGGGATTAGCCTGTCCAGAAAAACACACCTCCATCTGAGCTGGATGTCTGGACTCCCATTAACAGTCAAAAGAGAGAAATAAGTGCTTTGGGAGTCAAATAATGCTAAAGAAAATATCGAAAGTAAGTCAGATGAACCATGCTCTGGCAACGCTTGTCTCTCTTATCCTATCTGGACAGGATACGAACGCATCTAACCTAGCTCACATGTAGGTATCTGTGTTCTACATGTCTACATGTCTGGAGAGAGAGACAGAGGAGAAAATCTCAGCAAAAGATGTAAATCACCTCGTAGTATTTTAAGTCAATAGCGTTACCCTGTGTATTACCTTTTTTGTAACTATTATTTGGTGCTTTGGCCAACTTGGCTGTTTCACAGTTTAGATCAGAACTAATGAGATAAATGAAGTCTTTGTGTAAATGCACAAGTCTGGACACTAAATCTGTTCTTTTACCTTCAGCATAAATAGTACAAAAACAAATTATTTGTATCATTAGCTTATTGTCCAGAAAAGTAAATGCTTGAAGCAAGTGAAACGTACCAAGCTCTGATAAAATCATCTTCAGTCAAGACAACCTTGCACTAGAAAACCCTTCTCACTTTTTGCAGCTTATGAATATTCACTGGAGAAAATCTATTGGAATTCAATACAAACTATGACAACAAAGTATCAGCAAATTCCTCCTGCTGCCATACTCAAAACCTGTAAGAATGAGAGAGAGGGAGATTTTCCCACAAACCACCCAGTGACATTCTCACACATCCTGCTGTTGACCTCCTCACATCCTCTACTCTCAGAGGATGAAAACTTGTACCTTCTTCAAACCACAAATCCTTGAAAGAGGGAGAAAAAAAGTTGTTATGGATATGAAATTACTGCATGCTCAGAGTCTGATTCTGAATTAAACAGTTTATGGCTGAGGTAACCAAAGAATTGCCAAAAAAGAATCAAAACCCAAAGGCCTGACTAGATCTCAAATGCTATTTTCCACACAAATTATGTCTATTGTCTTTTGGTATGATAATATCTTTTCTGCTTCCCTGGCCCACAAGCTCTTCATAATCTACTCTTCAAAGTACATATTCATAACCTGTCTTTACATAATCTGTAGGTAGCTACCTACAGTTTACAGTCTCCTTGGGATCGACTAAAAATTAAGCCTATCATGTTCTTCATTTGTCCAGATCACCTGGAATAAGTTTTCATTATTTATTGCAGGTAAGAGACTCACAAAGCCCACTGACATTTATTTTCTTTGAGCTTTCACATGGGAATTAGATCCTGATCAACCAGAAGGTTTATGTTAAATCAAAAACTGCAAAGAGTCAAGATCTATTCAGTACTTGCTCTTTCTTCCTGAAAGTTTGAATTACCAGACTCTTGGACAGATGTCATTAGATTCATGCAAGAGGTACAGAAAGGACAGTATGAGCTTCTGCACAATCCCGGCTTTTGGTGTACTCTCCAAATAGTCCTCCTTTACATCCTGTACAAATACAGTGTAAGAACAAAGCAAAGCAGAAATATTTCACGAGACTAAAAGGAATTATCTGGCATGAAGCAACATAAATCTGGTCCTTTCTTCTCTAAATTATTATCTTTTCTTAAACTGAAGCTTGGCTACGTCTCCTCCTTTTTAAAACACTTTAGCTGACACAGAGAAAGACATCTCCAGAGGACTAAATCTGAACTTAGAAATACCCTTCCCTCTCTGCCAACTATTCAGCAATCCTACATGAGTTGGGCACTAAATTCAATGTCTGGGCCCATGTTAGGAGGGACATGTGCAAGGACCAAGCACCTCCTGACACCTGCGTTGCTCTGGAATAGACCAGCAGGTCACCTATAGCCCGTTTTAGTAGCCAAAGACAGATGCCACCTCACAGAAGGAGGCAGACACTACTACTTGGCCTGAAGAATTTGGGAAAATTCAACCAGGCAGAAATTAGGTCATATTCATCTGTGATCAATCAGCGTACGCTGACAGCCCGTAGGCAGGAAAGGATGCAAGGTTGCTCAGCAGCATTCAGTTTCTTTTAGCACTCTTAGAAACAGCAGAGCCACAGAACTAGGAAAAAAGTAACAAAAAAAACTTTGAAAAGGGTGGATCACGCTGAGGTAGAAGGAACTCCAGCCCTTCCAAAGGACTGGGTACAGCTGGGGGGGTTTTTTGCTTGGTTTTTTGGGTTTTTTTTGGTTTTTGTTGTTTGGTTGGTTTGTTTTGTCAGGGTCACTGTCAGACACTTACATTTCACACCACCTCTTATTTTCCTCAATTTTTACATGCATAAAAGAAGGCTCAGCCAAACAGTCAGAGAAAACTTTTAGTTTAGTTTAGCAGTCAGAGCTAACTTTCCATTAGACTTTGTTTTTAATGAAAAATTCAGCTCTGGGAAATCAACTTGCTAAATAAAATCTTAGCACAAAGCTCCTGCCTGCATTATGCTGAGACTGAACTGCATCTCTGAAACACAAATCAGGATTTGGCCTCGTGTGTGAGCCTCTCTTTGTTCAAACACGGTGCTACCCCAGCCACCTCTTTTCCTCCTTGTGACCAACCTCATAATCTGGTACATCGAGAAGAAAAGTTTCTGGCAGAGTTTAAGGGCTTTGCATGAACAAATGCTTACAATCTATAGATGCAAGAACTGTGCAAGCCTTTGAACCGGAGTAGGTAGCCAGGCTGTTTGACGAAGTCTTGGAGTTTCAGGGTACATGACATACTAGAGTTTTTTGGGAATTTCCATGTGGTCCCAGTAACCCATAAAAAGAAAAGGACTACCCTCAAAGTGATCTTCCCAGGACCTGGGATCTAACATCTCACAGAAATAGAAGAAAGGGTTTTTTGAAGCATTGCAGAAGATGTTGAAAGAGATGCACGTTGCCCTTGTACTCAGTACAAGAACTATACAGAAGTCACAGAGGAGAAAAAAAAAAATCAACATCCAACTCCTAACACAAACAAACAACAACAAACTGGGGCAGGGGGAACAGGGACAGAAGGGAGGCTCTCTTAAATCCTACATTAAGACTGCAGCTTGGGAAATAAAACCCCTGTCCCAAGTGAGGTACTGAGCAAGAGCAGCCCTGCAGCCTCCCAGGGAGGGACTTCCAAGGAGCTGTGTTGGAGCTGTCTCTGCTGAAGGTTGTTTCATTTTGTTTTCCAGAAGGTACTTACCTGTTTTAAGCCCTGCATAAAATCATTTGTGGTCTGGTGCATTGGCAGTACAGTTACATCTCCTGTACTGGAAGCGTACCTAAAATCTGTGCCCAGACAGATGTAGACAAAATCTACGTTAGCACATAATGTAGGTCAAACAAAAAGGTGAACCAGGCTAACTGCACGGCACCCTCAGCACCTGATGTCCATGTTACATACCTTCCCAACCTGCTCTGAGTCTGGTCCTGTGTCCTCAATGTGCTGCAGCCAAAGTGCACTCTTCAAGTGCTCCTTTGTGTTTCTTTCACCCCAAAAGGAATCCGGTTTGTGCACCCTGCGACGTGAACCACAGCTCCCTGCGCAGGGAGGGCTGGGGATTTTGCTCTAAGAGCTCACTTCTGGACTAAACTAAGACGCTAGTAAAGAACCAAAGTAACGCACGTTTTGGTCTTCAGCCCAGCAGAACTTCTGCAAAGGGTGGTAACTCCGAAGATGCACAAAATACACATTGTGCATTCTTCCTAAGAACAAGTTTTCAATTTTTTTCACCCAGGAGTGTGGCTATTACACTAACTCCTACAAGCAGCACTTCTGGAATTGATATTGTTTCTTAGGTACTAGAATGGGTAAATTTCTACATAAGCAAACCCTTCTGAAACAAAAAAGCTATCATTAGTCTTGACCATACAAAATTCCTCCATAACTAGAAGTGAGAGAGATATATATATATTTAATCTGACCTAGCAGATTTCATTGAACAGCTCTACCTTGCAGAAAAAAATGTTATAAAAACAATTTCAAAGGTCTTAAATTATTTTCTTTATTTTCTTCTCTATATACAATAGTCTGTGCGCTCACATATAGTCTAGACTATCACATATATAATGATTTTTTTCAGGGTAACAGCATAAAGTTTTTTTAATACAGAACTAATATTACCAAGTACTGATCCTAGCCTCCAACTCCTGGAAAAACCTTTCCAATAAAAAAAAACCCAAAACCACTCATATTTTTGCAAAGAAATCACATTTTCAGATTTTCAACTCTAAACTGAAAAATTCATAAGGAGGTGATTTTCTGACAAAAACCCAAAGATTTTAAAATCTTTTCCATGAAGAATTTACAACTTGATATATTTATTATTATTTGTCATTGTTCTAATTAGAATGAAGCATGTTTTGATCATCTTGAATAATGTCTTCAACTTTCACATGAGGCAAACTGGTATCAAGAACAAAAGTAAAATTTTCCCACACAAGTTTCTACTGACAATGGTTTCTTCTTACCAGGCTGTTCACATGTAGGGATGTTCCCATTCTCTAGGAACATCCTGTCATAGACTACAAAACACCTAACATCAACGTATCATGTGTATTTTTTTCTCTAGTTTTTATCTCAAGTTCAAAGGTACTTCTGTCAAACTGCTCAGCCTCAAGGTAAAGGAAGGTAAAAAAAAAAGTAAATAAATCACTCGGATATTTCCACTGTGGAATATCAGAGTGATTAAAGCCAGCACAGCCTGCACTTGGATCTCACTTGCATTCTTGAACATCCTCGGATGCCAGAACAGCCATCGACAATTTTCAATAGTGAGACATTATTGTTGGCTGCCTCACTTAGACACCTAACAGGTCTGATTCCAGAAGGTGAACATGTGACACTTAAAAATCACCATCTTTTAGAGAGTTTTAGCTGGGCATCCAAAATCTAAGGGACTGAAAATCACTACTCACTCATGAACATATATATGTGTATCCTCCTATTGTATTCAACACAT